TGGGTTATGTATTAGTTTGAGCACAAATAAGTTTTTGAGCTGCGGTTGTAATTACAAGGTTATTAAGAGACTTCATATTTTGGTGTACATGAAGGTGAATGGCGGCAGCCGGCTCCTGCTTATAGAGGAAGATCTTGGGTATCTTCCGCCCTGGTACTCATATCCACTTCCTCTGTCTGGGCTGCGAAAACTTCGCTCATATGTGACTCGGCCGGAATGACTTTTTTTGCCCCCCCCCCTGTATTTAGCTGATCAAAATTGCTTCCCACTGGAATAAACTTAATTCGAAAAAAGTTTGAAAGTACTTTTGGGACAACCTAATATATCGACAACTTACAATTGACGCAGGGAAATACAACGAGAAAAACAATTGAGCATGGACTCACCACAATGTTTTGTTGACTTGAGGAGGACGAACTAGGATTACTTCCAGAAGCACCAGTTCCTCTGTAAAAGCAACTCCTTTTTTGTACTTTTTTGTACATTTTCTGCTAGGTGTGTAACTTAGTTTCCAATCACGCAGTCAGGTTCCAGTCGCATCCAAAACCTGTCCAACGAGAGCGTTCTTTTGCTCTCTAACATTCACCTTGTTCACCCTATATATAATCTGCTGTGTGTGTGCCTATTTGTCTGTCCAGAAATTCGGTTCTATCTGAAGTGGTACTCGGAGAGCTAGATTTAGGGTCGCGGCAACTGTGCGGAGTCAGTATAAATTCACAGCGCCGGTCACAGCATCAGTAAAGCGCTGTTTCCAGCAAGTTATATAAAGGGTGAGATTGGATATCAACAGTGGGTGACAAAAGCGATAACAACTGCTAGGGGAAGTCGTTTCATTCGTCTTCGTTGTTCAAAATGGTGGAGCTTCGACATTACCAAATTATGAAGATTTAGTGATAGGGAAACTGATGATGGCTGATGACAAGTGGTAAGAATAGATAGAATCACTACATCTTTACTACATTTGTTACCAATTCTTACCAGTATACTGTCAACCATTAAAGGCTGAGTGGATGACCCCTTTCCTTCAACTATCTCTTTTCTGATAGGAACATAAAATGAACTCATATTACTATAAATATGCGTTTAATGATATCTAGCGGAGAGGGGGGGGGGAAGGGAAGGGGCGGGTGGTTATTTTGTGCCCGAAACGGGGAAACCAAGAAATTCATCATTCACAAAAACTCTCGCTAAATCCAACGATAATGTGTTAGAGAAGATGTAGTTCACAATCGTCAAAACGAGGGAAACCAGCAGATCGTCCTGTCGTTGTTAGCATGCAGTTCCCTGTGTAACGCACACTATGACGAGAGCGAAGCAAAATTATGTTCATCTTTTCACTATCGCCCATGGCTCCACAGTCGTACCTCTTCCAGAGGTAGCAAGGCCTTGGCATGTTACAGTGCTCATCCGGGATTTGTGCAGCCTTCTCACGGTAGATTCTTAGATGTGCATCTGTGCAGCTAGCGGCCCGATGTGCATAAGTGATTGCTGATATAAAGCTATTTTCATCTTACTTTTCTATATTTTTCTTCAAAAAAGGTTCTGTGACCATTCGGTACATTCTGCGCATTCCAGGTCGCCTAGAATACCTGGCGAAATCAGCTCGGCCCAGCCAAGCCGGGCCTTGTGACATTGAAGAAGCACCCGGCAACAGCTGGGCGATCCGCCATGTTTGTTAAAAATGAAATTACAACGCAACTAAAAGTTAACTTTGTCTAGATACGGCAAGGAATTCATCAACCTGTTGAGAAAGCTTTTTGGACCACATTCGGTCCACTAACCATAGATCCATTTTCTATAGATGTCACTCAATTCCGAATCAAAGACGAGTTCATGGCTTCTCCACTTTCTGTATATAACAAGAGCTGTGCTGAAAGTATGCTGAGCTCTCACTGGATTTGAACGAAGGGCGTAAAACTGGGAACCTTTCTACGCAACTGAAGCTAGCTTTTGGAGCAAAATCCGCGACGGGCGAATTTCTTTCATAGTAGAGCTACTGCAGTGTTGTTGTGCTCACTAGGACAAAACCTCACTAGAAGAAATAATGGAACTTACTATCTTTATTCAAACCTGTTTTCTCACAACTTAGAGGCAGTTGGCACGATAAATTAATGCACACGTTGATAAAGAGCAAAGGTGCCCCGTAATGCAAAAATGGGGGAATACGGGGCGAAGTGATGGGGAAACCACAAAATGGACGCTTTCTTTCTCCGGTGTACTGCGGCAGTGGACGAGCGAACGGCTGAGGCGCTGCTTTGGACGAGTTGCCGGTTGAGGTTTGCCGGCAAAAAGCCAGCAGTACGTTCTTTGTCGCTCTACGTTACACTGCATTACTCCGTAGGCACGACGGCACGTCCTTTGTGCTGTGATGCTATATGTCCAGTGGTAGGGCGGGGGGGTCCGGGTCGGTACGTTGCTGCTCAATGGAGCACTATAAGGGTACCCTCCTTGGAAAAGGCGCTACGCAGCGCCTGTTCAGGGTCACGGAATTCCACGCCAGTCGTATTAATCCTACTCGTGTTTAGAGATTTATGTGCCAACTGCCTTCAAAGTGAAATCATTGCGAGAGAATGCTGAAGGTCTCAGCGCCAGATGTGACCGCTTCATCCGGAAGGCGTCCACATCCTCCGGATCAAACTCTACTTCTAACTATGCAGACGCTTTTAACACATTCCAGACAGATGCCTATTTCGCGGGCGTTCACGTGTGACCGCGGCGTTTTTCGATGCGAGGCTGGCGTGATATACATGGTGTGTTACGCATCCACACGAGAGGCTTTTCCAGTAGCGACCAGTCTCATTGATTACACTCTTACTGATTACTTTATTCTGAAAACTTATACCTGTAGGTTACTTCACTCCCAATCACTAATACGACCACTTTTGGCGCTGGGCCATCTCTCTGTGTGTGTGTGTGTGTGTGTGTGTGTGTGTGTGTGCGTCCGTCTGTCTGTCACGAAATTCATAGCACCCGTCGCAGTAAGCGTGGCACGTTGGTTCCAAGAAGTGATATAGGGGTGGGACGGGAACATTATTGGCGGGTGACAGAAAGTGATAACAGTTGATAAGATCCGATAAGGGGCCTCGGAAGGGGAGGGTCATCAAATTCGTGGCGCAGGTTACAGCAACAGTGGGAACTCAGATCCGTGAGGTGATATAGGGTGTGGGACGGGAACATTATTGGCGGGTGACAGAAAGTGATAACAGTTGATAAGATCCGATAAGGGGCCTCGGAAGGGGAGGGTCATCAAATTCGTAACGCAGGTTACAGCAACAGTGGGACCTCGGATCCGAGAGGTGATATAGGGTGATATGATAGTGATACGGGACGGGAATATTATTGGCGGGTGACGGAAGTGATAGGAGCTGAAAGTGACAAGGTTAACATGGGAAAATCCGCTTCACCGCTCACAACAACAATGCGATCGATATGACTCAAGTATAACGATCTCAATGATTCCAACAGAACTCATTCCTCACCGCTTGTCAGTAACGACATCATGTACGACCGCTAAGCCAACTCTATTCCAAATGCCTATTCCTATCTCCTATTCTCTATTCCAAAAAATCGTTCAGTAGATTTTGTTTGCAGATTTGAGCTCAACGCAACAGACGCGTACATCAGAAAGCATCTCAATGGGCACGGCCGGATCGACCTGCTGGCCTTCCCTGGCAAAAGGACTATGAAGGATTTTGTAAAAAGGGAAGTTAAAAAGGGAACACTCACACTCAAATATGACATGCTCAACGGTTCCAGGATGCATTAGTCACGCAAAACGAACGCCCCAACGTGAGCTTTTATTCAACTAGAATCATTCCCATATTTTCTTATACTCATACAACAGGACTGTAAAGCATTCGGAAACGCTTGTCCGGTCGTTCTCCTATTAGATGAACCGGGCACGCTTCCTAAACCGTAATATAATGTGAACTATTGAACACTGCTTGCAAAACAAAGAGATCCTTCTGCTGCTATTGAGATACTTCACGGTCTTGACATTGGCGTAAAGCGTATTTTCACAACCAATTCCTGTAACTCTGTGTCCTTCCTCTTTTTTTGTGGAGGTTTATGCTGCTATGTCTCAAACATGGCCAGGAGAGCAGGAACTTCCAAGGTTCTAGCAAAGCAGCTCTGATGATGAGGGCACCTAGCATGGAACCAGTAAGCATCAAAACTTCAGGATCTTTGCTTTCTTATAGAGGACATGTCAGAAACGCTAACATGTCAGAAACGGTATCTGCAATATTCACTAGAGAGGAACAGTCCTTTTGAGCGTTTGAAACGGATAAAATCCTTGTCCATGTTACAGAAGATGTACAAGCAGGTACTCAAGCGAGTGGTACTAATAGAAAGACCACTCCTTGATGTATAAGTGCTCACATTGCCGCTCTTCAGATAATGGGCAAGTATTTTGAGTCCAGAAAAGTGACAGAACTTTCCAACCTAGTACTAGGCTCCGGCTAATGTGGCTGTATCCCCCACTTTATGCATCTACCCATTTCCCATTGTTCCCTCACCAGGGCACGCCATCGTTGTGATGATTACAATTAAGGGGTCGTATATGACCTCGAGGGAGGAAGAGGGGTCGTACGCGCGGATTCTGAAGTGAGGGTGCAGCGATACCCAGATGTCGTTCAGCTTCAATGATGAAAGACTTATCCATGTGAAGAACCCCTGAAGAGACACACACAAGACAGAAGCAACCTGCCAGCGCAGAAGTGGGGAACGGGCGATGACAAGAAATACGATGACCGCCCACAACGACGTCATGAATTAATAAACAAACCAAAGAACCCACGACGTGACGATTAATAAACAGATGAAAGTACACTTCCGGACCTTTCTGATCGCAGGAGCACATGTGCTTGCACTTAGGAAGCCCTATCTAGAAGTTGCACCTTCCCAATACCTCTGCGTGAAAGCCCTATGCATGGCGCATTGCAGAGGTGATGCCAATTGGCGCCCAATGAACTATTTCCTGATATCCTTGGCGAAAACATGTGTTTTAGAAGCATACCAAAGCCTTCAAACGAACTGGAAGTGGTATGGCGTCGGATGGGTGGGTTTTTCGTGTCGTCCGGCAGGGTTGCGTTGTGATCACAACGGGGGATTTTTTCGAATAGCAGGCCTAGGGATAAAATGAAAGCCTTGCTGGAAAGTAGAAAGCTTCAAGATTCCGGCACTGTTTTTCCTTTTTGAGGCCCTGTATAAAGCTTGTTATGGATATTCAAAGCGCAAGGTCTAGTAAATGACCCCTCCCCCATGATCACGACAGGATCACAACGGAGAAAATTTCTTGAAAAGGAATTTTTTTGAAATAGCTCAATTCAGGTAACAAGTGCTAACCGCCTTGTGCTTCACAGTCCTGCTTTTCCCTCTCCAAAAGGCTTTGGCTTGAACCTGGCTCCGGGTCGTGGAATAACTCGCTCGAATACCAGTGCGTAACGCGCTCACCCTCGAATGACCGCGAACAATAAATATTCAGGTGTTGTCACTAGCGTTTCCCAGCATCTTCTTTCTTAACTTGTGTCTTTTGATACTCATTTATAATTTTTTACCTTTCTTAATAAGATTTATTATGGCTCATTTTCATCGTGTTTCTCATATTTATCCTTGATTAACGTCGCGTCATTTTTGTCGTTTATTTTTGCAGATCTTCCATTTTTCGGTAGTTGTTTGTCCGCTGCTGATCTGGCCTACTTGGCAGATTAGCAGCAGACAAGGAGGGGGGGGGGCGTTTCAAGCTTACCAGGAGGGGAGAGTCGTATTTAGCAGAAACTGATCTCAACGCGATGGCGTGCCTTGTTCCCCACTCGCTCTCGGAGCTCTTCTGGATCCGGATTACGAGCCTTTGAAGCAAAAGGCCACCCTGATTAGGGACACGCGGGGCTTAGTTCAGTTCATGTGTGTTACGTACATCCTGGCCTATGCTCTACTCACCCCCCCCCCCTTGACCGGGCGCCTTCAAATTGGCTCTCCAGATTTCGCCAAATTTTCCGACAGACAAGCAGACCAACAGACAGACTACCAGATGGACAGGCGGATGAGGTCGTTCACGTAAATTACTAAAGCCTCACGCGAATTGGCAACATAGAAAAAAGTTGCCACCCGCGGAACCGTTCCTTGACCATTTCAAGCGCTACTCAGACTCAGTTGTTAGAGCAAAACGCTTCTACGTACTTCCAGTGCAACATATTGTTTAATTAATTCAACAATGGTGACACGGACCATCTTCACAGTACCCGTTACATCGATGCTGTCGAAACTCACAATATTCTTATCAAGACAGCATTCACCTTTTTCATGCAGCAATAGAAAAAGACTGAAAGGGAAGAGATATGGTTCAAAACATACCCGGAGGACGAGTTTTCTCGCTGCAAGCATCCCACCGAAGATGTTGAGCTTGTGTCCGACCCACAGAGATTTTTTTTAGTATTGGTTGGCAACTGCTGTTCAGTAGGTTGGGATATTCCATCGAGAGCACCACTTGTGGCAGTTTCTGGATTGGAGGAACAAGGATCAGAAATTTTCTTTGGAAATACAGGGAGATTAATGGGTGAAGACGAGATCCGAGATTTTTTTGCAGGTAAAGGTGGCGGTTTAGGTTTCACGTCACGCCGTTTCACGGCGACCTTGTTCGAATCGGTATTCGAACAAGTATCTGGTATTCGGCCCTCTTTAGGACCACAGGAGATAGGAACTTCATGGGAAGAAACTCTCGCCGAACTGTGCTGCTTCCTTTCAACCGCCTTCAATGCATTGAAGCCGAGTTTAGACGACACTTCAGCTCGTGAAGGAAAGGCAGAATGCACTTGTGAGACTGTGGTTGCAACAGAGAAGCCATTTTCTCTCCTCTCCGTAGATAACAAACGACTTCGCCAAGACTTATGGGATGTACTCTTCATACTGCTCCTTGGCACGGAGCGATTGGCCTTCTGCTGAAAGTAGACATTAGTTCCAAAGATAAAGCTCTAAAGAGACAGGGAAACAATAAAAGTACTCACAGAACCAAATAACAGTCGCTCCTCTCGCAACGCTTTGTTGAATGTGTTGACGTTTTTATCTTAACGGTCTGTTATACTGTAAAGTAGATTAAGAACACTAAATATTCAAAGTTCAACCATGACAACACACATATGTTGTTATCCCAAAGCAATCACAAGCACTAACGGCAGTGCTTCATTTTTGGAGACCGTCAAATGAGGGTTGGCCATGTTCAAGTATTGGCAGCGGCGTACACTACTTGAAGCGCTAACCTTCGATCTGCCTTTAAAACTAGTAAGCAACACTGTGAAAGAGGTCACAAAGACCAGTTGCATTTTGTACTTTCTTCTAGTTTTGCAGAACGTAACAGAACGTAAAAGAGGTGGGTGAGTACACTACAACCCTTGGGGCGGGGATGGCTTGGCTACGTACCTTAGTCGAACGTGATGTTTTTCGTGGACTATTACCATCTGGGACAGCTGTCGTGGTGCTGCAGAGAGACATGACCTTAACTGCCTCCAAACAAAAAGATCCTCAAAAACGCAGCTTCGGCCATGTCCTCCTATCTCCAGAATAATGCAGGTTAAGTCTGACGCTGGTGCAGCGGGCTGAAGTATTGATAAGAGCACGTTCTCGTTGCATCTTAAGAGTATCGTTATAATCCTAAGACATAGTTTGCAACTCCACATTATATCTCAGATTGGCAGCAGACCCAATCCGCAGCCGAGTAGATGCAACGTGAAACATGGGTCTCTGACAAAGTATCTGCTGCGACTGAAGAGCGCATTGCTCGCACAAGTTGAGCAATGATGTTGTCCTGGTCAACATTCGTAATGACAAATCAATTATCACGGAATAGGCTCAACTATCAGCATCGCCTGTCTTATACTACATATCAGATAATGAAATGATACAATTTATGATCGCGTCAGCAGGCGTAATTTGTCAGACTAACGGCAGGGCCTGTAACTCAACATATATAGGACGATGAGCAAATCACCCAGTCCGTATCAAAGAACACCTAGCTGGTAAGAAGAGCATTAACAGGACCTCTTATGTCATACAAAACCAGCCAAGAAAACACACTATAAGGACATGCCCTTAAAAGTTCCCGAGGGGAAAAGAACAATGGTTCAACAAGAAAAAACTACAACTACAATATGTATTGAAAGGAAAACAGCGGCAACAACCGTATGGGAGATAAAAAGAGACAAAAGAGGCGATAAAGGAGGAGCCATTATGGATTAAGATAACCATCATACGCTTGCGGAAGGTGAGTTCTATCCGGAAATTGATTTTATTCTACTCAGGTGAGTACTCAATATGAAAAGCAAAGAAATGTTAGAGTATTGAGTGCAGGCCTAACCAATTTAGCTGCACCCCCTGGTAATGGAAGCAGCAACAAATCAGACCTTTTTCTTCTCCATCAAAGCAAGCAGAGACCCAGGTTACCAGTCCTCTATGCACGATAATCTGCTTATAACTAAACCCGACTTCTCTAATAACAGGTTTCCTACTGAGCTATTTTGAACGTTTTCAGGAAGCTATTTCAAACGTTTTCAGTCAAACCGATATACCTACGTTTTTTACGGACTGAAAAGAACTGTACCATGAGCAGAGGTCTAACATATATTCTGCAAGGGAAAAGGAGAGTTGAGCAGTCAGTATTTGAAAAGGCTTTAACCAGTCCAGTAGGCCACGAATCGCTTTAGGCTCGCAATGACGGTCGGAAGACAGATCAATAGTTACCAAGATGCCAAGATCCTCAACCTCGGTGAATGCATGAAGGATGCAGTCAAAAACCCATTCGCAAGGTAAGAGTATATGATGTTGAGGCCCGATGTGTGGAAACGTCGTTTTCTCCTGGAGAGTAAAAGGTTTCAAACAGCCCAACTAAAAGTGAGATCAATAGCCGTTCGATTGGATTCATTTCATTTTTCATTTTTTCATCGTTAAAAAGGGTGGAAACGTCAACCGAATAGTGTTGACCTTAAGCTGGAAACACAAGAACAAAACAATTCACGTAATTGTTCTGTTACGATAACTGCTGTTTACATAACTGTTCACAACACTGCTGAAAAAAGACTGCTGCACAGTCTTTGAATGCAAATAGGACTAAAGGGAATACATATCTATAAATCAATTTAGGGCCACTTCGATCCACGAACTTTCACAACTGGGCTCAAAGCAGTCGAACAACAAACAAACATGATACGCACTTCACGTGAGTTATGAATTTGCTGAGCCTACCTTTATAAGGCGGTTTATCAGCTTTCATCAGTGATTATCACTTCCTGACACCCACCAGGAATACTCCCGTCGCACCCTCCATATCACTTAACAATTTGAACTATCCACGACTGATTTGAAGGAAGTTATGAATTTCCGTCAGACACACATACACCAACAGACAAACTTAGTTGACTATTCTGCTTGGAAGAACTGGAAGAACTTACTTGGTTTTATATAGGAGCGAATCTTCGGTAAGCAGTCACTTTCATTCTCGGAGAGTGGGTCATCAGCATGTAGTGAAGTTGGCCGCTTCCGATAGAAATTTCTTGGTTGTGGTGCCACTGCTACCTTGCGAACGGCGTCGTGCATGATATTTCTGCAAATGTTACGTGAAGACAAGAATGATCATTTAGTACTCATGTCCCCCGTCATTTTCCAACGTGCTTTCCACCAAGTGGATCAGGTCAAGTTCTGATAAAACAAGGTCTTATAATATCGAAGGATTTCTGAGCTCAATTGCAAATTCTTCCGTGTGTTGATAAAAATAAAACATTTCGGTCGTTTTTTTCACTGAAGGCGTTTTGGCTATAATGCCCTTAAAACCACTAAACACTATACAATTTGCTTACACCAATATCGACAAAACGTTGCATATACACAGCAAGAAATTTGAAGTAGGTATGGTAAAGAACAATAGATCGATCCTCCACAGGAAAAGGGGTCTATGGTTAGAACCGCCGGGAGCTTTGCACTACAGCAAAGCGACCATATAAGGAGACGGTCTTAATGACTCAAACCCAGCCTTCATGGTTTTTCTGGTATAGAATGGAGCAAGTTAAATGGCTTGAAGATGAACCGTTGGGATGCAATTTAGCTGATATCCTGTGACTTTGTCATGTCACGGAAACACCTTTCAGGTCACATGAAAGGATGCCACACTCTTCACTGACTTCTTGGCTCCTACCTGTTGTCAATCAGAAGGCCCCTTCTTCAAACTTCTTAATCTTCCTTTACTTTGCTCTTCACTAAGAAGTGTAAGCTCCAAACACAAATGGGACATGGCACACGCAGTTCAAGCCCGCGTGCAGTGGTGCGGAAAAAGGAACGTTGCCTCAAAAAGGATCATTTAAGTGTCTAGCTCAACTACGGGTTTATCAGGCTCTTTGTTCTGTGCTCGTCCAATTTCTTCCATATAGGTCCTTGCATGACACGAGGGCAATTTGTAAGATTATAAGAAGGGAAGTCCAGGGCACATCGATTGTCGGGACATTTTTGTCACAGTCCGTACGACCCCCCGCTTTTTTTTGGGGGGGGGAGGAGGGGGTGTTGTGGTTCGATTCCCCTTCTGTCCCGTCTCTCTCTGGAGCATGTGGAGCGGGGGGGGGTAAATAGCATATGTGAAACAGGGAAAAAGCCAGGGAAAATACGACCCCCCCCCCTTCACCAATTGCTCAGATTTTTCCCAAACTTTCCTACCCAGGAGCTTCTAAAAAATTTCACACTTTTTCCCGCAAAATTTTGCCTCTCGAGCGCGGGGGGGGGGGGAGGCGTATACAGTAACACATTAAAAGAGGAAAATCACCGAAGAAGTACAACCACCTTTTCCCAGAAGGTAATCACGGAACCCCCTTCGCCCAAACAATCGATCCAAGTACCGACTCCCCCCTTTTGAAACGTACGTGAACCCGAGAAAACCAACTATCAAAATTAGTTTTTCTCTGCCCAAATGCGACCCACCTGTTGGGATTCCCAACAACGATGTGCCCTGGGGAAGTCTTCGTTACTAAGAGCAATCTGCAGTTTCCCTGACCACATCCCGTCTTCGCACATTCGTGAAATGAAAAGCTGGCGGTGACCGTTTCAACACGCACCCGTTCGGGCGGCGGCGTGTACTCCTGGAGTACACGAAAAAAACTGCTTTTCCGCGATCGCGTAATCCCGGCAGTCCTCGCGCCTCTCCGCTTGTTTTTTTTGTGATTTCTCCACATTCTTTCACCAACAGTTGGATAAAATTGATAGTTCGAATTATATAAAAATAATATCAAGACTTTCCAGATCAGTACTCTCGGGAATACACGAAAAAAAAACTCCTTTTTCGTCTTACTCGTGAGCTCCCGAGAGTACGCGCTCCGCTTTTGACGGCTTCTGGTGATTTTCTTTAAAGACAGCTGCCGCGTGATTGCAGGTTTCAGCGGTCACATTTTGCGTAGAACAGGTGGCCAATTTGAAGGCACGTAAATCAAAATAAAGCAGCGATCAGGAAAGGTGTGGGGAAGGCGTAATATCAAACCCTAATGAAATTGTAAAGGCATGTGGAACGGTTCGCAAACCTTCTGGTGAGTTCTTTCCAATAGCACGTCCCGCCTCGGATACTCCAGAAATCAGCGAATACTCAATGCCCAGCAAAGATTGATAACTGTTCACAAACCAGTTCGGGGCGGGATTAACAGGACAGGAGGCGTCAGCCCGGCTCTGTTGACTCCGCCCTCGTCAACCAATCGATTTCGAGCCGCAAGAGTGGGATTTCTGCTGTGATTGCGGACTCCGCGTTCGTTTTCAATGGAGGGTTTTTTCACTTTGGTTGATCGCGGACGCTGCCTTTAATTTGGTGAAGTTTATGTGAGAATAATCTACTTTATATAATTTGCTACGTCTGTCTGCTGTTCGGAATACTACACTTCGTCCTTGATTGATAATGCGATGCGAGTCGTCTTCATTTAAGGACAGTGCCCGCGATCGCCTTAGGCAGGTTTTAGGGGTCAGATTTGTTAGAACAGGTGGCAAGTGAAGCATTAATCAAAAAAAGTAGGAAAAAAGGGCTGCAAGTACATGGAATAAGACCCTATTCGATTTAAGGCATCTGGACGAGTTTCGCAGTTTTTGGGTGAGTTTCCCAAAACATGTCGCCGACTTGTTGCGGCTAATTCCCATGAGGTCTCTACCTATGTTATCTTATCTAATCTAAATAATCCTCGCTGGCATTGATCTATCTATGAATTCATCTCTATATAAGAGTACGAAACAAACGCTAAAAATTTAGCGGTTATCAATGCCAGCGAGCATTGACAACGGCAAACCAATCGAGGCGAGATTAACAGGACAGGCGGGGTCAGCTTATTACTGCTGACTCCGTCTTCGTCTATCAATCGATTTCGAAGTCCCAGAGTGGAATACCTCTGTGGTTGCGGACTCCGCGATCTTGGTCGCAGGTCGCCACGGTTTTTTCACTTTGGTTGATCGCGGACGCTACCTTTAAGCGTTGAGTAATGCAG